GAAAGAGTGCGGGTTGGAAGCAGCACTGGACGCTGGGGACAGAGCTGACCTTGTGACCCTGGAGGTCTTCTAAGATGTGAAAGAGTAGGTCACCAGATCTGAGATCTGTGGGGAAGCTCTGTTCTCAATGGGAAACCCCAGTTGAAGTAGGATTACTGTGTAATTAATTCTAAAAGTGTGGAAGTTGTTATTTTGTTATTTTTTTAAATTACCAGAGAGTGCACTAGGGAGAGAGAAAGAGGGGGCGAAGAAACTCTCCAGTGGAGTGTGGTCACGCCACCATCCTTTTTCTCCCATTTTTCTATCTTTTCAGGATTTGGGGCACACATACACATGGACCCAGTGTGTGTTTCAAGTTGCTAGGGCTAGTACTCAAACCACAGTTGGCCATGTGGGATCTGGCTCCTTATGCACAGGGCTTAACCGTTGTACTATGAGGCCGGCCCTACGAATGTTGAAGTTTTTAAAATGGGAAGTTGAGAATAGTATGACTTCCACATGCAGTCCTTTGAAATAAGGCTATAGCTAACAGATGTTAATTGTTGGACATTACGAAAATCTATTTTGTATGAACTGGCCCTATATTCTAGTTGTTAAGGGAGCTGGCACCCCCGTGGGTGACTGTGGCTCAAATCCCAGCTCCAATGGCTTGAAAACGTGTGCTGTGTGTGTACATGCACGTGCATGTCCAAAATACTGACTGGCTGGAGAAATGGAGGAGAAAGGACTGCAGCATGACCACACCCAACTGGGGAGTTCTTTCTTCCTCTCTCTCTCTGTCCATGTGTGTGTGTCTCTGGCAAGCACACATGCTCTCTGGAAAGAAGAAAACACCAACAAGAAGTGTGTTTTATTAATAATTGTTTCTTTAATACACATGTCCAGGTGGTACTTGACAATTAGAAACTTAAATTTAGAGGGGGTGGGGCAGAATTGACTTAGCCTGGCTTCTTCCACTTTGCAGATGAGAAATGCTGATACTTAGGGGTTAAGTGACTTATCACAGGCCACACACTTAGAGACAGAGCCAGGAGTGGAGCCTGAACCTCCTCAGCCAGACTGCCTCCTTGCCTTTCAATATCACTGGTGTTTGCAATTTATTTTAAGTAAACTTATATCTTTATCCCAAGCCATCTTTCTTTGTGGTTTTAAATTGGTATCTGCATCTCTTTATTTTATTCTTTATGTTACTACATTCATTGTTTTCTGATTAATGAATTGAATTTTCATCTACCAGTACAGCCATCTTGCTGTGTAGAGTGAGGTAAATTATTAAGAAGTTTCTCAATAGTGTAATATGCAGTTTCAGTGTATCTGTAATGTGAGAAATATAATCTGGATAGAGAAGCTGTTTTTACATTGTTGCCCTGCAGTGTTTAAATTGGGATAAAACAGGATTGCTTTCAGTCTCCTTCAGTAAGGCATTAATTTACCCTTTTCAGTCTAAATTTCTAGATTAAGGACTAGGAAACTGTGACTATATTCTTTTCCCAGTTTAGACCTCTAATACAAAATGTATAAGAAATTATTATAGCTCTTGCTTTTTACCCTAATTATGTAACTGATTGTACAAAGGAGACACAAGCTAAGTACTATCTCTTTGAGGTAGCAGAGAAAATAATTATTCTTAAAGTACAGAATTTTTTTCCTTGCAGAAATATTAAGATAAATTACCTGAACTATTTTGCCAGAAAACTGAGTATTTTAAAAATAAAGCTAACATATTAACGTTAGGTGTAAGTGTGATGATACTTAACTCCAAGAAAAGATTATTTATTGGCTTGGGAATTTGTGCTAAGCGTTCTGGCAGGTATAATAATTTGAGTCAAGAGAAATTTTCTCTGGAGGTAATTTAATAATTCTTATAGTTTTTAGCTTCATTTGATTTTTTTTTTTTTTTCTCTTTTAGATTTTTGCCCTAGGGTGCATGTGCTTGCTGGAGAGACAGAGAGAGAAAGACAGTGAGAAGGAAAGTGAGAAACCACTTCCCAGGGGTTATGGCCACACTGCAGTCCCTTCTCCTCCAGTCTCCCCTTTTCCTCCAATCTCCTCTTGGGATTTTGGGAATATGTACACATGAGCCTGAGAGTCCAGTGCCTTAATTACCACATCACTTGCTGAACCCCATTTAATTTTTTTTTTTTTAAGAGAGATTTTTTGCTATAGGGTATGTGTACTTGCTGAAGAGATAGAGAGACAGAAAGTGAGAAATCACCCCGTGGGGGGATTGCCACACCACAGTTTCTTCTCCTCCATTCTTCTCTCAGGATCTTAGACACACGGACATGCGCCTGGCATGACTTTCTTTCTTTCTTTCATTTTTTTTTAAAAGAATTATTTTTTATTCAACTTTATTTATTTATTTTAACTTGACCAGAGGGAGACAGAGTAAGAGAGAGAGAGAGAAAGGAAGCCACCAGGTCTGAGAATTGAACAGTGGTCAGCTATGTGGGAGTCCAGCACCCTTAACCTACATGCCACCTGCTGGCCTCATGCGCCTGGTGTGACTTTCAAGCCACCACGTCTGGGACTTGAACCACAGTCAGCCATGTGGGAGTCCAGCAATGTAAGCATTATGTTATCTGCTGGTCCCCATTTAATATATTTTTAATACAAATTCTCTGTTGATATCATTTCATATAATGTATTTATTTAAATTAAGATTTTTACTTTTGTAATACATTAATTGGTACTAGGAGACCTATATATATTTTGGCTTAAAGAATTCCGTTTAGCCAAAAAAGCACATCACACAGTGTTTTTCAGTAAATTACTTTCCCAAACTAAGGAAACAGAAATTTTTATTTATAGAAATGGGAAGTACTTCACAGCACTTATGAATGACCACAAAATGTCTTTAATAAACCAAACAATCAAAATACCACTTGTTCTAGTTTTAATTGTTTCCTTCCCGTGGAAGTCATAAACATTGATATTAAGTACCAAGGATAGATGATTTAATTTTCCCTTGTTTCTTTTAATGAAATTCTATTTGATGTCACTGCTGAGTAGCTAAATAGAAAACTAAGTTACAGCTATAAGCAATAGTAAGTATGGGTGTAAATTACCCATAGTCAAAAGTACATTGACTTTTTCGGGGTTGGCAGGTGGTGTGGTGGTTAGGGGCACTGGATTCATACATACCCAACTGCGGTTCAAGTCCCAGACCTTGTGGCTTACTTTCTCACTTTCTCTCTCTTTTTGTCCCTTTCTATTCAAATTAAAATAAAATAAAGTTAAATAAAATAATTCTTTTAAAATGTATATTAATTAAAAAATAATTATTTATTTATTTACTTATGTTTACTTTGACTAGAAAGGGGAGGAGAGAGAGAAAGAGAGAGAAAGCAAGACACCAGGTCTGGGACTCAAATTGTGGTTGGCCATGTGGGAGTCCAGCACCCTTAGCCACTAGGCCACCTGCCAGCCCCTATTATTATTTTTTTAACTTGACCAGTGAGAGGCAGAGAGAGAGAGGGAGCAAAAGCAAGAAAGCAAACTGTCAGGTCCAGGACTTGCACCATGGTCAGCCATGTGGGAGTCCAATGCCAGCCCCCAAAGTACCTTAATTTTGTTCATCTTTTCTCCTTTTGTATGAGAATTGGGTAGTTTTCCTTGTGAATAGATGTCATGTGATATGTCTTAGTGCTTACTATCCATGTCCCACGTAATTGGTTTTCTTTTTCTTTTTCTTTTTTTGAGAGGTTTTTGCTACAGGGTGCGTGCACTCGACAGAAAGAGAGAGACAAAAAGTGAGATATCACCCCCCAGGGGGGATGGTCACGCTGCAATCCCTTCTCCATTCTCCTCTTGGGATCTTGGGCATGCACGCACACACGCCCAGCATGAATTTAAGCCACTGGGTCTTGGACTCGAACCACGGTTGACTACATGGGGGTCCAGTGACTTCGCCATTACACTAACTGCTGGTCTCCCACATAATTGGTTTTCTAAAACAGGCTGAGTTATGAGACCCTAACTCCATTATTTTTAGAAAATATTTTGTTTTGGGGACCAACAGTTGGCATAATGGTGATGTCACTGGACTCCCATGTAGTCGACCGTGGTTTGAGTCCCAGATCTGGTGGCTTAAACTCACACCAGGCACGTGTGTGTGTGTGTGTGTGTGTGTGTGTGTGTGTGTGTGCCCCCAAGGTCCCGAGAGGAGAGTGGAGGAGAAGAGATTGCTGGTATTGCAGCATGGCCATCTCCCCTGAGGAGTGATTTCTCGCTTTCTGTCTCTATGTCTCTGTCTTTCTGGTGAGCGCATGCACCCTATAGCAAAAGCCTCTCCAAAATTTTTTTTTGTTGTTTTGAGTGTACGTTTACCTTAAAATATTAGACAGCAGTAATAACAACTTGGAAATGCACTGCTACTTACATATCTGTCACCTCTAGTGTTAATGCATCATTTTTGAATTTTGTACTTAGTGAGTGGACCAAGGTCTCAGGATCCAAGTTTAAAAAGAAACGGTGTAAAAGTTTCTGGTGAACATCGAAGAAAGGAGAATGGCGTAAGTGAATGTTTTTATTTATATATACTACACACACACACAATGATACTTTTTTTTTTTTTTTAAGTTGCCAGAGGGTGGTTGTGCTCATGTGAAAAAGAGAGGGGATGGGTGGGAAGGGAGGGAGAACGCACCCCTACAATGGGGCACGGTCATGCTGAAGTCCTTTCTCCTTTCTCCATTCTGTTGGGATTTTGGCCATGTCTTGTTTTCAAGCCACTGGGGCTGGAATTAGAGCCCTGGTCAGCCATGTGGCATCTGACTCCACTAGGCTATGGGCCCTGCTCGATACTACGTTTTTAACTTTTAATCTCATTCATTGTTACTTTGTAGTTCAGTGGAGGGAAGGATGACACCTCCTTAAAAGGTTATTTTAAATTTATTGCATAGAAACTATTGACTTTAGTAATCTCTATGTGGCTTACTAATGTAAGAAGTTAGATGCTGAAATGTACTACAAGTTTAGAACAAAACAGATGCCAAGCAATTTTGAAGAATACTTGTGTTTTTAGTGATTTTGTTTCTGTAGTTGCTTTAGAAAAATGGAAAATTATATATTAATACTCTTTCTATCATATGTGGATTTGAACAGTTGTCTTTAGTGTACTTTGAAGATACTGTTTTTCAAAGGTCAGAATTTTCAATACTGTTATTAGCTAAATTACCCTTCTCCAGTCTGCAGTAAATCTATATTAGAGTCCAAACCATCTAAAATACTGTTTGCTCCTACTGTGCCTTTCCTCAGATCTGTCCTTTTCTCTTGTTGGATTTTCCACTGTTGAAGGATGATATAAGGATGGCACAAAAGGTCTTAGCTGTCAACAGGAGTTTTTGGATCTTGATACAGTGTATTTCTCCCTCTCCCTGACTGGAGTTTAGGTTTTAAAAGTAACAGCTTTATGAAAGTATCATTGAAATGAAATAAACTGCACATATTTGAAGTGTCCAATTTGATAAGTTTGACATATGTACACACTTGTGAAACTGTCACCATAAATAATCAAGATAATAAAAATACCTGTCACTCCCAAAAGTTTCCTCATGTTCATTTGAATTTCTTTTTCTTGTCTTCCTCCCTGTGCTCAAGGAATTGTTAGTGGGTCAGTTTTCTCTGTCTAGAAAAATGATGTACAAAAAAATGGAAGCGAGGTAGAGAATAGCTAGACTGATTATGGTTTGGTGTTTGTTTGAACACAGTTAAAACAGTTAACTGTGTATGAATGATTGCTGTGATTCGGCTGTTTGTTAAGCAAAGACTCCACGTTTGTTTACAGGAACTCAAGGCAGTTTAGCGTATTCCTTACCAATCTGGTTGCCGTTTTCTCTTTTTCATTGCACTGGCTAGTACCTCCCGGACAATGTTAAATTGATGTTGTGAGAGTGAACATTTGCTTTGTTCCTGAAAACAGTGTATCTTGTCTTATTTTTTTAGATAGGGTCTCACTATGTTGATTAAGACCATCTCAAGCTCATGATCTTCCTGCCTTAGTCTCCCATAAATACTGGAATACAGATACAGATGTATGCCAACATGCCCAACTATATCTTGAATTTTAAATGCAAGTGTATGTTTTTAAGAGAGGTTTTTGCTATAGGATGTGTGTGCTTGCCAGAGAGACAGGAAGTGAGAAATCATCCCTTGCGGGAGATGGCCACACCTTAAATCCCTCTGCCTCTGTTTTTCTCTCAGTATTTTGGGCACACACGCACACGTGCCCAGCGTGTTTCAAGCCGCCGGGTCTGGGACTCAAACCATGGTTAACTATGTGGAAGCCCAGTGACATAACCGTTACACCCATTTGCTGGTCCCACAAATGTATTTTTAAATGGTGTTCTGATCCTGCAGTCTATACTTGATGTCAGCGACACAGAATTAGGTTTAACATGATCAAACGGTATTATTCCAATATGAATTAACTATAGAACAGGTAATTCTGATTATTCCATATATGTCCCTGACTGTTGAACTATTTAATTTTAAATCTATATCCTACAGTAAGAGATGATCAGACTGATATTAGTGTGCTTTACATAATAAGTTATTACAGTAATTGTTAATATAAACATAGCATTTAATATTGTGAAAAATATATAAAATATTATAAAATTTAATGTTATAAAAATGACCATATAATTTTGTCATGGTTCATCCAGATGAAGCTTGTAAATAGACTTTTTTTTTTTTTTTGAGAGATTTTCGCTATAGGGTGTGTGCACTTGCCAGACAAGACAAACAGAGAGAGACATAGAGACAGAAAGTGAGAAATCACCCCCGAGGGGGGATGGCCACGCCGCAATCCCTTCTCCTCCATTCTCCTCTCGGGATCTTGGGCACGCACGCACATGCGCCCGGCATGAGTTTTAAACCACAGGGTCTGGGACACGAACCGTGGTCGACTACATGGGAGTTCAGTGACATAGCCATTAGCTAACTGCTGGTTCCCTTAATAGGCTTTTGAAGGAGAGGTCTCTGGGATCATTTTATGGTAAGTTGGGTTATGTGTATTTGTGTTATTTGTAGGTTAATAGTCCTAGGATGGATCTGACTCTTGCTGAACTTCAGGAAATGGCATCTCGCCAGCAGCAGCAGATTGAGGCCCAGCAACAAATGCTGTCTAATAAGGTAATGTCTTGTTTTGAAAGACCTAACAGGCCACCCTTTTAAATGTAAACAGTTTATGTGCTACTCTTATTATTAAACCAGTTACGTCACAGATAGGAGTCCATATTATCAGCCCTAAGGGCACTTGCCCTGGGATGATTTCTTCCAACATTTACCACAGTCTGTACATCATCTCAATTGTTCAAAAATGCCCTGACCTCTGATTGTGATCAAAGGTTATAGGGCCACTTTGGGGATCAGTAAAACAGGAAAGGTGTATCAGTAAAACAGGAAAGGTGTAAAGAGCCCTTCACTTTATTAGTAGGAACTACTCTGGGCTATAATAGCAGGAGGAACCTTGAGGTTTAGTATGTTACACTGTTTCCTACTGCGGCTAGGCACCAATACCAGGCAGCTCGCCTATATTTGGGTACCCACAAACTAATCTTGGTCCTGGTCATGAACAAGGAAAACAGAAGACGCCTCCATTACTGTCAACACCAGTGTCAACTGCAACTTCTCCTGCCAGCCTAAGGCTTCTAACCTAAACCAGAAACAATCAGATTTTTTTCTGTTTAGGGTTGCTTAGTAAATACTGGAGGCTTTGCAAGCTATGCTGTCTCTGTTAAACTACTCAACTCTGCCTTTGTAAGCAGCCCTTGATAATAGGTTAAAAACAGAAGGGGTATAAAAACGATAGCAAGGTGAATTTGACCTGCAGGCTGTACTTTGCCAACCTCTGGTCTTCACTCAGTTTCCACAACTGACCAATCTTTTAGTGATGTAAGTTCCCTGAAGCTGAAATTGATGATGGATGGTTTGACATGGCAGGATATGTAGCAGGCTTTGAAATAACGGCCAGAGTTTTTTTTAAGGTAGTTTTCCACATGCATTTTGTCTTTCGATGTAACATTTCCTAGGGCTTCCTACACTTCTATTTATAATGCCAGACACGTTTTCAAAATCGTGTGTACCAGTTACCATTTATTTAGTATATAGTATGTAAGATAATACTCAAAGAGATTTACATTTTCACATTTCATTCAAGCCTCACTGTAGTAACAGAGGTAGTGTATATATGTCGTCAGGAAAGTTATGATGCATTTTTTAATTAAAAAAAGAAAATTTTA